TATCTATCTATCTATCTATCTATCTATCTATCTATCTATCTATCTATCTATCTATCTATCTATCTATCTATCTAAACAGGAAAGTATTTCCTAATGTTTTCTTGTCATCTTGCAGCACATATTCACTTTGTACAAAAGATAAATAAGTGAAAGTGAACTTATTAATTGAACTATTATGAACATGCAAAGAATATGCATAGAAAGTGTACAGGTTTATTTCCAGTATTTTTTTGGGGAAAGGCTTACTGCAAGTTGCAAGGGAAAGCAAACCTAGTGAGGAATGGTGCTGACAACAACTCTTTTTATTCTCTGTCCCCTACAGCTGCAGTTCAGGAACCAAAAAAAGAGAAACCAGATGAGACCATAGTGATTAAGCCCAGCCTGGGGGAGTTCTCAGTCCTGGATGTCACAAGCGATACTATCCGTCTTTATTGGACCGTCCCCACTGGGAGCTTTGACTCCTTCCTCATCCAGTACAAGGATGCAGATGGTCAACCCCAAGCATTGCCTGTGGAAGGAGGCTCCAATGAAGTCACAGTGACCAACTTGGTTCCTTCTCGTAGATACAAGTTCAACCTCTATGGAGTCTCCGGGCGCAAACGCTCCAGCCCCCTCTCCACTGATGCCACCACAGGTCAGCTTCAAGGATTGTGAGATTTTCAGAGATTGCACCTTCAGTTCAGCATGATTGGTTTCCTTATCAAACAGTGTTATTGCTGCAATAGTTGCCTAACACTTCAATGTCTTGTTTCATACTAGCTCTTGCAAATTGGATCTTTTGTTAACATTGTGCTGGATTTTAGTTGTATTGCCTGGCCCCTTTGGAATATTCCTTCCCATTTTCAACTGCTCTTTATCCATCTGGTGGACACCAAACTAATGCAACTCTTGAGGAGCAATATACACCAGGTATTTTTTTGCAGTAGATCAAGAGAGGATCCTCTTGGCAGGATGGTAGCCAGTTCATAGGTCTGAATAATTCCCATTTTTTTAAAGTCTTGATAGAGTCCAAGATTGGGGATGAAGCCAAGTACAATAGGGTCATTCTGAACATAAAGAAGTCAAGTGTCATATTAGCAACCTCTTGATATTATCTCAAAATTAACAATAAGAGATCAGCATCAAATTATACAGAAATATTTTCCAAACACAATACTTAGTTAATATTTAATACCACAAAGATTATTGTAACTTTTTCCTTCCATTTCTCTCTTTTAGCCCCAATTCCAAATATTGAGATTGCAGTTCCTATCCAATCCAGCCAGGGGACTTCTCGGTCCTTGATGCCACAAGTGATTTGGTCCATCTCTATTGGACCATCCACACTGGGAGCTTTGACTCCTTTGTGGTTCAGTACAAAGATGCAAATGGCCAACTCCAAGCCCTCCTTGACTCCTGACAAATGTATCTTTTCTTTTATGTACACTGAGAGCATATGCACCAAGACAAATTCCTTGTGTGTCCAATCACACGGCCAATAAAGAATTCTATCTATCTATCTAACTGCCTGTGGAGGAAATTTCCAAGGAAGTCATTGTAACTAACCTGGCTTCTTCCCACAGTTAGAGGTTCAACCTCTATGGAGTCTCTGGACAAAAACTCTCCACCTCCACCCTTGCCTCTACTTATGCCACCAACAAGCCACCTTCAGGAGTCGTTGTGCTGAGATTTTTCAGCTTTTGTAACTTTGTATTAACATTCCTAGTTTCTTTATTAAGTAGCATGGTTATTGAATGTTTCAACTCCTGGGTTGTATCTCCAACAGTCAGACATTCTAATCAAGCTTTTCTTCCGTATTCCTCTTTAAGCTCAAATCACAGAGCCCGAGAAGCCAGGTTCTTTCCAATCCAGCCTGGGAGAACTGTCAGTGCTTGATGCCACAAGCGATTCTGTCCGACTCCATTGGACTGTTTCTACAGGGAGCTTTGATTCCTTCCTGATCCAGTACAAGGATGCAGATGGCCAGCCCCAAGCATTGCCTGTGGAGGGAGACTCCCGTGAAGTCACGGTCACCAACCTGGTTCCTTCACGCAGATACAAATTCAATCTCTATGGAGTCTCAGGGCGCAAACGCTCCAGCCCTATCTCTACTTTTGCAGCAACAGGTCAGTTTCAGGAAATTCTCTGCCTACGACATTTTAAAATTGTGTTAGTATCATTGATTTCCTTCACATATAGCCATGATGGCGAACCTATGGCACGTGTGCCACAGGTGGTACACAGAGCCATTTGTGCTGGCACACGAGCCGCAGGCAAACTTACCCCATTGTGCATGCATGCACCTCACAGCTGATTTTTCGGCTGGTTTGAGGCCTTTTTCGGCTTCCCAGAGGCTTGAAAAAAGCCTCTGCAGGCTTTGCAGGGTGAATAATAGGCCCATTTTATAACTTCTTGTAATACCGAAAGTGACAAAACAGGCCTATTATTTGTCCTGCAAAGCCTGCAGAGGCTTTTTTCAAGTCTCTGGGAGGCCGAAAAAGGCCTCAAACTGGCCGAAAATCAGCTGTGAGGCGCAGTGCAGGTAAGGGGGTGGCGAGGGGGAATTGTGCACGCATGCACAGGGGCATGGGGGCGTGTGCATTCCCTTCTGGGTGCTGGCACACAAGCGTGCATGCACAAGCGCGCACACAATTTTTGGCACAGGAGCCCAAAAAGGTTAGCCACCACTGACATATAGCATATTTGTGGATTTTTTCCCCCAACTGCTGTATTACATTTGCAACATCAATACAATTCTAACTATCCCTTCTCTTTCATTTTCTCTGGGAAAAAACGTTATAGGCCTCTTGCCACGGAGGCCACCACAGGTCAGCTTCAGGTTTTAGCATGGCTTTGCACTTTTCAGACAGTATTCTTTCATAGTAATATTCTTGATTTCTTTAACAGGTAACCTTTCTTAACCATTTCAGTTTTTGGGTTGCATCTCCAACACCTGTTCTGACCAAGACTTCCTGAGACATTAACAAACACACGTCAGTCTGAAAAAGCTTTTGTTTTATTTCAATGGCTGTGAATTATAGTCATCCACAGCCCGTAATGAGTCTCAAACAGTTCGTAAATCTGCCAAAGTCCTTCAGGATAAGTCTGATAAGCACGCACCTTTATCTTGAAATGCTGCCGACTAAATTGCTAATTAATTGTACAAGGCCAAACGGAGCACAAATTCAACACACAGCTTCAGGTTTCAAACTGACCAGTATGAACAAAGTTGCTTCCTGCAAAGATTCATATCCCTTTGCTCCTCCTTTATGTCTTATGGGAGGGCCAATCACCTCCAAGCCTTACTCACAAGTCGCCCCTTTTGTCTTAACTGTTCTTGCCTTCTGGCAGCTCTGCGCATGCGCACACTGGGAACAGGCTCCCCCTATTCTTCTATCTCGCTGCTGTTAGATTCTGGAGGCTCCAGAGTCAGCACATAACTCCCAGATGGACCTGGCCCCATCTCTGTATCGGACACAGAACCCTTGTCTGAGTCCCTACCCAGACTCCCAGACTGGCCCATGTTCCTCCCCACTGTCCGAGTCTGCTGCCATCTCCATAGACTGCCGGCAGAACACAACAACACAGTGAAATTATAACTAAGCCTTTTCTTTCTGTTTTAGTCCCCTTTACGGAGACAGAGACAGAGCCAATTCCTATTCAACCCAGCCTGGGGGAGTTTTCAGTCCTGGATGTCACAAGTGATACTGTCCGACTCTTTTGGACTGTCTCCACTGGGAACTTTGACTCTTTCCTGATCCAGTACAAGGATGCAGATGGCCAACCTCAAGCTTTGCCAGTTGAGGAAAGCTCCCGTGAAGTTACTGTGACCAACCTGGCTCCTTCTCGTAGATACAAGTTCAACCTGTATGGAGTCTTTGGGCGCAAACGCTCCAGCCCCCTCTCCACAAATGCCATCACAGGTCAGCTTGAGGATTCAGCATGGCTGAGCACTTTTCAGATATTATTCTTCCAAATTTAATATTCTTGATTTCCTTAATAAGTTACCTTTTTACTGATTGTCTATGGAGCTTCTCAGTCATCCAGGTCATGGTTGTCCCAAATGTTATCCTTTTTACTAATCGTTCCAGCTCTTGGGTTGCATCTCTAGGACCAGGGACATTATAACTGAGCCTTTTCTTTCTTTTCCTCATTTTAGTTCCCTTGGCAGATTCAAAGGAACCAGTTCCTATCCAACCCAGCCTGGGGGAGCTCTCAGTTTTTGATGTCACAAGTAATTCCGTCCGACTCTATTGGACCATCCCCACCGGGAGTTTTGACTCCTTCCTGATCCAGTACAACAATGCAGATGGCCAACCCCAAGCGTTGCCCATAGATGGAGGCTCCAATCAAGTCACAGTAGCCAACCTGGCTCCTTCCCACAGATACAAGTTCAACCTCTATGGAGTCTCTGGGCACAAACGCTCCAACCCTCTCTCCATTGATGCCACCACAGGTCAGCTTGATAAGTCAGCGTGGCTGAAGTCTTGTTGAGGATTCCTTTTTTTGTATGTATGAACTACCAATAATCAGACTGATCAGTTTTCATAACCACAAAGCACTGGAAACTTGTACCAGTGATTGTGAATTTTTTTTGCATCTCCCTTCAGTATCTTTGGGGGGGGAAGAGAGATTGATTTAATTACAAATTAATTACAAAAAAAATGTAAACCATACATTCTTTTCAGTCATTCAGAAATTAATAATAGCATTTTAAGAAGTTATTTTCTAGTTTATCTGTTTTCTATAAGCTTTTTATTTTCTTTAAACTCCGATTTCATTATTATTTTCATATTTTTCTCTTCTGTATCTCCAATATGTTTATTTCTCCCTTTGATAAATTTGTTGTTTTAGTCACTATACAGGTATTTGGAACCTACTTTTCGATCGTTAAATAATGTAGTAGTAAGGCATAATGTCAGTGACCATACCGACTTATGACACTAGTAACAATCCCAGTTGCAGCTGTTAGGTGAATCCTACATAGTCACTATGTCCTATGTCACCAATTGCCATTGAAGACCAACTTGCTGCTTTCCCCTTTGACGTTGCTTGTCTGAAGCCAGCAGTAAATATCACAAATAGTGATCGCATGTCTATAGGATGCTGCAATGTCATAATTGTGAGCTGATTGCTGTGTACTCAAATTGTGATCCCATGACATGGGGACAATGTGATAGCGCAACTATGAGGACCCATCATGAGTCCCCTCATTCAGCATTATGTTAACTTCAAAAGGTTGCTGAACAAGTGGAGGTTAAGTAAGGACTACTTGTACGACTCTGTTGGCACTCAAAGTTATCCGACTTTTTGCAGAGTTTGATTTGTTTTTTTTAATCTTTTTTATTTGTTTTCTATTCTTATTCAGTCCAAAACTTGGCTTTTACTTTGTCTTTTTTGCCTGTCAGTTCCTGGCAGGGCTTGTGGATGCTTTTCCTCTTTTGAAAATTTACTGCATCTGAGGGAAATGGCTTGAAGAACTTTTCCCTCACTCCAGTTCTGAGGAAAGGAAATAAATGCCTCTTTCTCCCCATTTTCTCATTTTTTTTGCCTCCTGTCGGTCCTCATCAGAGTAATCTATCTTTCGGATTGCCTCTTTAATATTTATTTTGGGCTTTGGCTTCGCTTATTCAGCCTCTTATCATGAGGCCTGAGGCAGCAGAGCTCCCCGGCAACCATCTTGTTTCCCTTCCTTCTCCCCTCCTTCCCTAAACTGCTATTTCGCTGAAAATTGTTCTTTGATTGGCCGCTCAGTTGCTATGACAGTGGAGGCAGGCTGAGAGGGGAGTGGAAGGAAGACATACAGGTGCTTTTAAACTATGCAGGAAGTCCTTCCACAGGGAAGTTCAGATACTATTATTTTCTATTCTTTGTCTAGATTTCCTTAAAGAGCAACAATTTTTACTGATTATTCCATCTCCTAGATTAGTGGCCCCCAATCTTTTTTGTGCCACAGCCTGGTACCGGCATAACAAAAAGATCCGCGGCCCGGTACCGGCATCAGCACGCATGACAAGACAAGGCGAGCTGAGCGACCGGCCAGCCATCCATCCCCCGCTTCTCCCCGCCACCTTCAACTCCTCCTTTGTACCTTTGTCGATGGGCTTCGGGACGGCTTCGGGACAGTCGCTCGGCTCACCTTGCCTTGGGTGCTAAAAGAATCCTCACGCCTTAGTTTCGTTCGAAGCCGCCCCCCCCACTTCGATGAAACTAAGGCGCGAGGATTCCTTCAGGACCCAAATGCTGCTTTCCAACCGGAAAAGCTCACCCGGAAGCACTTTCTCATCGAAACAAGATGGCGGCACCCAGCAAACTGGCAGCCCGGTAGAAAATGTTCCACGGACCGATACTGGTCCGGGGCCTGGTGGTTGGGGACCCCTGTCCTAGATGGCATTCCAAGATCAGGAAAATGTAATTAAGTCTTTTATTTATTTTTTCTGTTTTAGCCCACATTACAGATACAGAGGAGCCAATTCCTGTGCAACCCAGCCTAGGGGAGTTTTCCATCCTTGATGTCACAACTGATTCTGTCCGACTCCATTGGACTGTCCCCACTGGGAGATTTGACTCCTTCCTGATCCAGTACAAGGATGCAGATGGCCAACCTCAAGCGTTACCTGTGGAGGGAGGCTCCCGTGAAGTCATGGTGACCAATCTGGTTCCTTCTCGTAGATACAAGTTCAACCTCTATGGAGTCTCTGGGCGCAAACGCTCCAGCCCCTTGTCCACCGATGCCACCACAGGTCAGTTTCAGTATTTAGCATGGCTGGAGGCCCTTCAGATATTATTCCTCCATGTTAATGTTCTTGATTTCCTTAACAAGAAATTTTTTTATTGGTTGTTCCAGCTTTTGGGTGGCATCTCGAAGATCAGGGAAATTCTAACTAAGCTTTTTCATTCATTTCCCTGTTTTAGCCCGCCTTACACATTCAGAGGAGACAAATCCTGTCCAACCCAGCCTGGGAGAGTTCTCAGCCCTTGACATCACAAGCGATTCTGTTCGACTCCATTGGACTGTCACCACTGGGAGATTTGACTCCTTCCTGATCCAATATAATGACGCAGGTGGCCAACCCCAAACAATGCCCGTGGAGGGAGGCTTCAATGAAGTCACGGTGACCAACCTGGCTCCTTCGCAGAGATACAAGTTCAATCTCTATGGAATTTCTGGGCGCAAACGCTCCAGCTCCCTGTCCACTGATGCCACCACAGGTCAGCTTCAGAAGACATTCTGCCTGGAAGGTTTTAAGATATTGTAACTGATCGGAATGGAGGGTTGCTGGAATGCTGACATTAGGATCATTCCTAATTTTCTTAACAAATAGCATATTTGCTATTTGTATCTGCAAAATCAGTGCATTTGTAACTGATCCATCCTTCCTTCCTTCCTTCCTTCCTCCCTCCCTCCCTCTGTGCCTCCTTTCTTTCTTTCTTTCTTTCTTTCTTTCTTTCTTTCTTTCTTTCTTTCTTTCTTTCTTTCTTTCTTTCTTTCTTTCTTTCTTTCTTTCTTTCTCTCTTTTTTCTTTACTTCTTTCCTTCTGTCTTTCTTCCCTTCCTCCCTCCCTCCCTCCCGCCTTTCTTTCTTTCTTTCTTTCTTTCTTTCTT